GATAAGATACTAATTCTGAATGAGGTGGATTACTTAAATTACTTGAGTGCAATTTCTTATGATTTGATATTTAAATATATTTGAAAGAATAATAAAATTAATTGACGTATGCAGTTGTCTAGTTTTAAGGAATGCTTGAGACGTGTTTGTAACAGTTTGATAATTCGAATAAAACGAGATCGCGCCGCGCCTTTACCGCATACGGCCGTGGAAGAGGCATCGCGCGCACACTCGCGTGTCCTCGGTTAGCTCGAACTTACGTATATAAACGATGCGTGTACGCAGCTCGATGACTAAAACAGAATCAAATGGTGTTATCATGTGTGGTTCTACGTTATTTCGTAACGCGGTAGAGACTGTCTGAAAATTTTACCAAGTGGACGATCGCGTGCGCGAACGAAATGGATACGTACGCCACTGATATCTTCGAGCAGCTGAAAGGCGCAAGCAAGCTTTTATACCTGATCAACCCCTACGAGACGATCTTTGAATTCCCGCATCAAGTGCCTGATTATCACAAACAGGTAATCCCCAATAACATAATTTTATAATCTACAAATTTTTCTAATATGAATTCAGCCTCGTAACAGATTTAAAAAAACGTAGGAGTTTCTGAAGAAGTAGTTGAGCAAATTCTATTTACAGTGGCTTCCTATAACTGTACTAGAAAATATTTACAGTCAGTTCGTATTTTCTCTGTACTGCATAAGCACTACAAGTTTGAATTCTTATGTTTTTTGCTACACGTTAATGAATACAATTATTGCCTTGAACCGATAAAACTTATCAAAAAACGAGATAATAATGTGCAATCAATTTTATGAAACAAAAAGTATGCTACTCACTTTTAGCTGTGCTTCGTTCTATCTATAGCAGTAAACTTCGATTTGCACAGATGCGACTTCTGCTTCGAGACCGGAATGCAGATAACTGAAGTTAGAGAAAGAGTTCGTTAAGTTTGTTGTTCTTTGAAAATAATAAACAAAACTTCAGTCTTGCAGAGATCTTATATAAGTTATGAAAAGAAATAGTAGCCTCTCGATTAGCCGGATCACGATTATCCGTGGTTTATAAATTCGGATTTCATTATCTTGTATCTCGTGTTTATTAAAAACAAGCAGGGTGGTCGAATTGTTTTGATACAAAACGTAGTCATTTCTCTTCGGGTCACTACGTTCCGCGGATTAGTCTGCCAATTGAACCTATTAATCGAAGACGTATTCGAGTTCGTTCTTACAATTAATTACGATCCAAGGCAGATTTTATAATTGCCAGAAACGATTTAAATTACTACATAAACTTCATGAAATTCAGCTTGAATTTTAATGCTGTCTTCAATTTCTTGTTTTCAAAACACACTATTTATTCCACATAGAATGATAAATTACATGTCATAGATAACATCATTATATTGATGTTTGATCAGTAGATCAAACATAATTAGATTGTATCTAAGATAAGCTCGATGGGTGTGTAGATATGGCTGCCGTTTTTCGTCCTGATCTTTTTGGAACAGATCATATTGGTATCAAAAAAGAAAAGAAAGATCCGTCTGAACGATCAAGTGACGTCGTTGTCGCACTGGTTGTTTCAAGAAACTGGCCGGTAAGCATAGGTAACGTTTTATAATTTTACTTATGTTTTATGTATGTGGCATCTTATACGTATTTGCAATTGTCGCTCTTACGAGAGGATAAACGCATTTTTACCATATTACATTTGCATTCTAAATTGCATACGATAAAATATGCATTTTTATTTAAGAATCGAAATGAGCGTTTTATATAAACGATATTTGTGTATTGAAAATTCTTATTTAGTTGAAGGAATTCAACGTTATTTATCTCTGTGTAATGAATAATGATTCTTAATTATTCAGCTTTTGTAGCGTTGGAGGCAGAGATTCTATTTACGTGTTACTGATCTTTGTGTGCGTATATTTTTAGCCGGCACATTGTATCGCCTGAGTATTTCCTTTTGCCGAGAGTGGTGTAACACTTACTAACGAGAAATTCTCTGAAAATATATTTTTAATCTTTTTTACTATGAAGAATTGATTCTTAATCTAATTGAATTTAATTATTTGTAAGAAATACCATCGAAAAGATCTTATACCTACAACAATTACATGACAATAATTGCATGAAGAACTGCCTATTTTTTTTTATAAGCAATGAATCAGCCGCTAAGAATTATCATGTCGACATTTGAACTCGTTTTCAGTATTTTGTTCCGCGGAGCCGAGTATTACGCGTACATCGTAATTAACGAGCGATACGGTTGGTGGAGTCTGCCCTGGAACTCGTTATGGACTTGGTGCGTCACCGCCGTCGGGGTGGATTTCTGTTACTATTGGGTTCATCGCAGTAACCACGGTTAAATTCCAATATCCAACCATGTGTGTGTGTGATTGTCGGTCCACGCCGGTTGACGAATTTATAAGCGTTTCTCGCCCGTGTTCGCAGAGGTACACTTCTTATGGGCCCAGCATCAGGTTCACCACAGCAGCGAGGAATTCAATCTCGCGGTCGGACTGCGGCAATCCGTTTTGCAACACTGGTGTAACTTCGTGAGTACTTACGCTGCATGTATCTCATTCGTGTTACATAATATGTAATACATATCGTGCTCTGCCGGATCCCTGCTGGTGTTACACACCGCATATGGAAGCCGGATACAATCGATGCGTTTTCTTTTGTAACAGGAGGCAGCAACAACTACATGATTTCAATAATCCAATAAAACGTATAATACTTTTGTCAAGTTGTTTAAACAGGTTGCACACAGTATATAATTAATTATAGAAATATTCAACAAGATGAGACGATTCATTAATAATTACTGATTTTATTTATAATTATATTTTAAAAATTTATCGAAAATTTATATTAAGATATTGTTTGATCGCAGGTATTTTATTTACCACTCGCGTTATTTATACCACCGTCACACTTCATCGCGCATAATCAATTTAATTTGATTTACCAATTATGGATACACACGACTGTTATCGATGATCTCGGGCCGATCGAATTAATATTCAATACGCCGAAACATCATCGAGTGCATCATGGTAATAAACAAATTATTAGACGTTCTTATAATTAATTTAATATGCATTCATGTCATAGTCTCTTCATGAGATGATTTAACATCGAATTGTTATTATGTTTACTAAGATTTTTTATTGACTTCGATTTGAATAGGTTGCAACTTGTATTGCTTAGACAAAAATTATGGAGGGGTGCTGATTATATGGGACAGGTTGTTCGGGACGTTTATGGAGGAGAAAAAGGAAGATGAAATAATTTACGGTTTAGTCGTTAGTCCTCGAACCTTTAATCCTGTATATTTGCAGGTGAGAGACTGTTCCTCGTATAATTGTGTTTCTCTACGCGAAGTATCATCATTCTGTTAGATAAACGAAGAATTAGTTATGCAAACGTGCTCGTCGATCGATTTCAAAGTCAATCTTGTCGCTAATCGATATTCTGTTACGTCCGATGTAATTGGCATCAACTATTTATTTACAAGAATTAAGAAAGGATGTTATTTTCATCAGTCGTACTCCTTATTCGCGATTTCTTTTTAAATGTTATAGGTATTTTATACAGTACAGATGATCACAAAGAGTATTGGCATGTCGAATTTAACAGATAAGCTAGCTGTCGTTTGGAAGGGCCCCAGCTGGTTTCCAGGTAGTCCTCGATTAGGACTGGACGAATACAAAATTAATGTAAGCTAATTATCATTACATTCTTCTATTCTTTAAAATAATCTTAATAATGATTTACATATACATAATTTTTAATCGATAACCGCAATTGGCATCAAATAAATTAAACATATCGCGATTATACATATCAGTTAACATTTGAACATCAACAATGTGATTTTCTTTTAAGAATACTAATGAACTTAATAATTGAGTATTAGTAATCGATACTCTGTGATAGATTGTATGTTGTACTTGCATGAATCACCGAGAGTAAACCGGTTTGATTTTAGATAACAAAGGGTCTTCTTTGTCTGATGATCGATGAGAATCTTGCGACCGTAGAATATAAATTAATTCAGCTCGTAACAGCGTTTTCCTCGATTAATAGTAATAATGTACTTCCTATAGGTAACGTCTAGGATCAAATATGATAATTATATACCTTCCTGGCAAAACTTTTATATAATTGTTCACTTCTACCTGGTCTTCTATCAGCACGTTCAGCTGTATGACGAACCACCACAGGTAAAAAACGATCATTTAAATGAAAAATATATACTATCACAGAAGTCTGATAAATTTTTTCCAAGTGTGTCATTGTTAAACTATTCTACGAATGCAGGATTTGAAGACATTACCTTCTGGACTAATACTCATCAACAATCTGTTCGCCCTCACCACGTTCGGTTTACTGTTTGACAAATCTTCGTATGCTGGCCTCGTAGAATTCGTCCGTTGCATCGTTTATTTAAGTACCTCAACGATACACAATTCATTGAATTGGTGCATGTATTATATATACGGTAGTTCCTGTTGTGTGTGGATTTTATATTTTCTCTGTACAATCAAGTCGAACTTTGCAAATATACGAGATTCGTAAAATACTGTCTTCGAATTAATTATTGCTGCTTTAAAATAAAGAATATACGTATGCATGTTTAAAAACGACTTTTATTCCAACTTCATCTCGTATGCAAATGATGTATGAAAACATGTTTTATAACTCATGCAAGAAAAGAAGGTCTTGAAGAATATTTTGTATTTTTCTCACTGCTTCCTTCGTTTTATTTTACAATCTCTTCCCTTTATTGACTCGTTACATATTGACAAGATTATTGCTTCGGCTATGATGCAACGAATAGCGGGGTTTCAATAAATGATTATATATAGAATCGTTTTGTTCGTATAGATTTATATTTTCGTCGATGGAAAAACAGACTCTGGAGACAAATGATTAACATTGTCAAAAACCTCGATGATACTTAACGCAAAAATCGTCGCCATGACCAATATAATAAGATCACATCGAGTCAAGCAAACAAGAGGTCTAAAGCAACGTTTCATAGTCGATTAGAATTTCGCATAAAAAAGAAATGTCTACAACATTTTGCACATACGCGTCGTACATTGACCAGAGAATTCGATCTCCTGATAGTTTTCTCCTACTTATCTTAAGTGTTACGGTTTGTATATAAAATTTGCCTATTCAATTAATATTATATTATATTTTAATTTTTTTCTTCCCTCATTCATGAACACCACGCGATCAAGATCGACGAGCGTCCGGGGCTCGCAAAAACGTCTTCCGAAAAAATCAGCATATGCAATACGTGAACGCGTTCGTAACTTGTCGACACGTTCAGAAAAGCGTAGTCACAAAGACACGTTAGAATCGAAAAATTTACAAAAACATTACGTTTCACTTGTTTTCTTTTATAATAACGTTACTATCATACAAGTAGGACATATAAATGGCGTTTAAAAGTTACAGTTTCCCTTTGCGGTACAGCGTAATCGTTAGAAACAAACATGAACAACGAAGCAACATTACACATAATGATATAAATACGTAAATGAGAAAATTAACTACACTTTGAAATAATTAATAAGCGTCGTTCGCATCTCTCCTCCTCTACCTCGCTTTTTGTATAATAACAATGTTATATTTCAGAGACCATAACTACTCGACTTAAGCGTAAAACAAATCTTCTCCTTTCCTTTTATATGTAAAACATCGCGTAAAATAAAAACAAATTGCGTTAACACCTTGCGTATACACAGGGCACGCGAGTACTGCCTTTTAGTACGTTATTGTTCTTCGCGTTATGCTGCATATAGGTATATATACGTAAAGCATTTGGTTCGATAATACATCGTTGTAGCCTCGAGAACCAATGTCTTAACATATTTCACTTTGATGGTCCACTATCTGCAACAAAATTTCTATCCTCAGTTACGTTTAATGATGTGAGTTTATAGAATGAAACCTAGATTGAGATTTCTTTTTACTTACCTACGAAAATATTCCTATGTGCTCGGTCCCCTCGCTTGATCGCTTTTATCAGCTTCCGCTTCCGGTCTCTGCTCCAGAGAATTGTCCGACGTGACCGAATGGTCGTCGTCGTGGCTTGCTCTTCCCTGCTGTTCGAGCAAAGGCATGTCCAGCGAATCCGAGGAGATGCGTCTGGCGTCGCTCGCGTGACCAGCCGCGTCCGATTGCGGTTCTTTCGCATCTCGCACATTGTTCAACGAATCGGAACTCAGCGAAGGGAAATCGAGAGTGGTCTTCATCTCCAACGAGTCGGAGCTTCGACACAACGGGTGATGCTTCTGTTCCATGTTATCCTCCAGCTCGAGAGAATCCGTACTGGTCTCCATAATGTTTCCTTCTCTCAGAGGCAATTCCGACTCCTCGGGCTTCGACACAGGCTGCACAGCCTGAGCCACACCAGCGTCGGTGACTTCGATCTGCGATACGTCGTCCGTCGTGTCGTCCTGCCGGTCGAACTTTTCGACGTTCGACTGAGCTATCCGTATGATCTCATCGATCTCCTTTATTCTCTTCTCATAATCGTCAGAACCCGACGTGCTTGCGTTGAACGAACCCGTCGTGCTCGTGTCGACTCTCGTCCGCGGCAAGTTCTCCAATTTGTACTTGTTCTCAGGACTCTCGTGCTCCAACAAGTCCTCCTCTTCCCTAGCACGCAATTCTATCAAATGCGCCTCCCTGCACGCTTTCTCCAGTCCCTCGAAGTCCTTTAAAGAGGACAGCGAGATGTCGTCGCCGTGTCCCGAGCGGCTGGCCATGTACCTTTTTGGAAGACTACCGTTATTCACGGAATCGTGCGAGCCGCACTGCAACTTCTTCGAGTTCTCAGCGGCCACCGCACTCTCCAGGTGTTCGAACTCTTGCAACGAGCTCAACGACACGTTGTCGTGATCCGTCGGTCTACTGAAATATTTCTTCCCCGCTAACACGTCGTAATCAGGCGTGCTCCCGAGACTACCACGCATACTGCCAACGCTACCTATCGATTCCTTGTGGCTACCTAAACTCCCGAATCTACTACTGCCAGCCTCGAAGTCAGTGACCTCCTCTTCTTTGATATCCTCCAATGGCCCTCGGTCGTACTCGATATCGTACACTCGCGTGTCCGCCTGGAACTGCATCTCCATCCACTTCTTCCCACCCTCGTACTGCTCATCGTCCGAATACGATTGAGAATACTGATCGTCGTTCGATATTTGCGGAGGACTCTCCTCGCATTCGAATTCAAACAACTCGTTGTTCTTCGACTTTTGACTCGTCGATTCCTGACCGTCCTCCTTTTTCTCAGCTATCAGATTCTCCAGATCTCGATCAAACTGCTTGCCGCTGACTTGGGGAATAGCACTGATTCGTATACTCTTACCCTCGGAATCGTATTCCTCCGCTTCTCTACCCACTTCTTCTATCACGACGAAATCATCGATGATGTCAGGCTTGTCGACCATCTCGAACGAATCACTGTCCGGCGAATGACGGTCAGACTTTTCTTTGCCCACGACCGTGTCAATGGACACGGCGGATGTCGAAGACGTAGACATGCTCGCCTGTTGCATTATCGATGTCGTCTGGGTCGACATTTCAGGGCTTTCGCTCGTAACACCTGTTGCGGTGTACTTCTGCACTTCCGATTCGACTTCCGCTGCCGCCAAGTCGGCTTCTTCAGATTCCTTCTCGATCATCTCCACATCTAGAGCTTCGCTGTCGATTTTCTCGGGTAAATCAGTTTCCGTAGCCTGAGTCGAGATCACTTGAGTGCACACGCTCTGTACACCGTCCTCGGAAACTCTCGCAGTCATTATGTCCACGGATTTGAGCGCGGTCGGTGAAACTGCCGAAGTTGACGTGGCAAAATCGACGCCCTTCGTCTCCTTCGTCGGTTCTTGCTTGCTCTCAGGTTCGGCGCCTGACTCGTCGACGGCTTGAGGGAAGATCATCTCGGATGACCGTTTCATGCGACAAGGTACGGAGCTGCTGTAAATCTGATCTACTGGCTCGTCAATGGGTATTTCACTGCCCGACGAATCCGATGAATCTGTTTGCTCCTCTCCGAGAGCACCGTTCAGATTTTCCTCCAGTTCCTCCTTGTCCGCCTCGCCTTCGGAAGGTACCAGAGTCTCAGACAACTCGCTCGTGCTGTCGATGCTACCTAGATGGCCTGAACTTAATGAAGTCAGCGATTTCATGGACTCGCGCGAGCTCATCGTAGTCGCGGCTGTGTGATACTCCTGCGAGGTCGGCTTCGAGGTGGACGAGTGTTCGAAGGACATCATTGCAGTTTCGTATTCCGATGCCGTTCCCGAGGGCACGCCGCAGGATTGCATAGCCTCCACGTCGGACGAACTAGGTCGGCTACTGGTCTCGTACTCGCATGACTGATAATTGCTACTCTCGCCAGAACTGGAACCGAGGTCCAAGTCGCTCTCGGAAGTGGGATGCTTGGAGCTTCTCCCAGGTTTGTGTCGTCTTCGAAGCACAGGACGCGGCAGGGCCAGAGAAGAACTCTCGTCTTTATTGTCTACGTCCGATCCCGATATGCTCGCGGGCAGGGGACTAGGATGATCATCATCGTCGTCTCTCGTATCACCTTGGACGGTTATCGCAGCAGTCTCTTCGTCAGACTTTTCGGTTTTAATCACAGGTGCATCTTCCTTCGATGGACGCATCGGCTCCTCGATGCTGCTGGAAGATTCGTCAGCCTCTGTTTTGCTCTCGGTCGCGACGTCTCTCGTTTCGGACTTGTCGACTGGAGATTCCCTCTTCTCGTCTGTCGGCTCGGGTTCGTGCGTTTCAGCTTCTGGGTACGAGGGTGTGTATAAAAATGGTAAATCGTTCGGAATGGACTCGGGTTGCAGCTTAAACCGAAACTCCGACGGGGAGTCTTTGATTTGAATCACAGTCTCGCTGTTCTCGCTCAGCTCCTCGATCAGATCCTGCCTAGCGGCCTCCAGCGACTCCTTCACCTCGGCTATCTCCTTTTTAACTACCTGATCTAGAACGATTATAGCGTAGCGCGCACTTAAATCAACACTAGAGGGGTGATCGTCTTTTTTTATTTTAAAGGCACAAGTGTCGGAAGGAACTGTCGTCGATCTTCCAGGCTTGTCGTGCTTGTCGTGCTTCTCCGTAGCTTTCTCCATATGCCTTTTGTACTCCTCGCTCGACGGCTTCAACTTAGACAAGTACGTTTCCGTCCATTCCTTCAACACGTCGTCCATCCGCGCTGGCCTGTCAGTTTCCGGTGCCTCCTGCTCCAGTTTCTCGCCCTCCTCTTCCGGCTTCGCCGTTTTCTCCAGTTTCAACTCCATTTCTAGTTTAGAAACGACTTCCCCTTTCTTTTTCACCTCGTCGATCTTCGGTTCGTCCTCCATTTTCTTCTCCTCTCCTTCTTTTTGATCTTTTCCAACGGGTTCATCTGTAGTAACGCTAACCTCTTCTTTTTCAAACACTTCTTCCTCGATTTCTTTCGATTCTGCAGCTTGCTGGCTAGAAATCTCTTCGCGCAAAGTCTCCTCGTACTCCTTAATAGGCGTTTTCGCTTCGTACTCGCGTCGCAACGTGTCCACCAGTTCCTGGCAACTAATTTCCAACTTGTTCTCCACTAGCTCGTTCTCGAAATCAGATTCGCTGACACGAACCACTGTAAACTTTGACTTCACTGGACCTTGAACGTCTTCCGCTGCCTGTTCCCTCATTGGCTCTATCACGCTAACATCGTCCGAGGACTTAGTGCCCGATTCCTGCTCGTGATCGGTCGACCCATCCAGTGAGGACAATCGCTCCTTTTTCTTCTCATACGCCTCCAATTCCTGGTTAAAAATCTGCGACGGCTCAAGCGTCTCAGAAATCTCGATCTTCTCATCGCCGATCATCCAATTGATAGGTTTAATTTCCAAACCACGAACTTTTGGTTTTGGCGAAATCAGCGGCGGACTCTCGAGCTCGAAACTATCCGCTCTTCTCGTGATTATCGTTGGAGGACGATCCCTCTGCAACGACGACTCTTGCACCAACGAATAATCCACGTTCGTGTCTTCAGATACGGTGCTAGGACTGATAGTTATGTCCCTTTCGTGAGCCAGTCTTTCAAACGAGTCGGTGGCCGCACTTTCGTGGAGCGAAGGGATTCCTCTGCTGGTCTGCTCGGATATCTTGTGCTCGTCCATCTCCAGAGACGGCACGTCCACCGAATCTTCCCTGGACTGACTGTCCAAGCCAGGCTCGAGGATCTCCAGGACCCTGGCACCAGATGCCTCAGAAACGATCTTATCTTGCGGAAGGCTTATATCGCTTGGAAGATCTCTCTGCAATTCCACTTGGCTGCTCGACTTCGTCGATCGTTGTTTCTCCGACTGTGGACTCAGCGTCGGCTTCGACTCGCTCTCCAGCTCGTTTATATCAACGTCGATCGTTTCCTCGAAATCGATTTGCTCAGATATACTACTGGGACTCATAGTGATGTCCCTGTCCTGTAATTTTGCTTGAGAGGATGACAGAGGGTAACTTTCTTCTTTCCCGTGCGGGGACGACTCCTCGTCTTTCGTTATGTCCTCACTTACGCTTATACTGTCTCTAGCGGAGGAGCTCATCTCCTGGAGTTCTTCGTGCATAGACGATCTCAATCTTCGGTCTTTATCTTCTTTGTCCAACGATTTCTTCATGATACTTTCAAACTTCCGCGTTAAATCGTCAGCTAACTTCTCGTGATCGGTTTCGGTACTCTCGCTGATGATCTGCTCTAAGTATCCCTTGTTCAATAATTCTGCTTTCAAATCAGCTGCCGATTTCGCCTCGATCTCGCTCTCGATCGATTGAATCAGAGTTTCGGCTATGGTCCGTGCCTCGATCTCTTTAAACTTCTGCCGCTGCTTCTCCTCTAAACTCTCCTCTGTTGTGCTCGGTTCCTTTTTCTCTTTCGCCTTTTTCTCACTCGGTACGAACTGTGTCACGTCGAAGCTCTCTTTGGTCTCCTTGTGTGATTCTCCTTGAACAAGCGTTTCTATGTCCGCGTCTGCGAATCTAGTTTTCGATATTTTCTCCGTTTTTGGTTCGCCTTCCACCGTTCTCGTCGCATCTTCGTCCTTTCCGGAAACATCTTTCTTTATTCGAATAGCCACTTCCGCGTCGCTCTCTCTTAATACTGTGCTACCCGCCTCGCGAGTCGTGACGCCCTCTTCGTCCGATAGTTTTTTAAACGTCTCTTCTTTCTTTGCTTCGGCTCTCTTCTCAGATGCGCTCGCGTCTATCACCTCCTGCGTTTCCGTCAAATTCATCGACATTTTCTGAATCGCACTCTTGTCTGATTCTTCGCTCTTGCTCACTTTTTCCTCTAAAGTTTCAGTCGGCGACTCTTTCTTCAGCTGCGATTCGGACAGCTTCTTCTTTTCTACTTGTTCCTTTTCTTCTAATGTAATGATTTTATCTTTACCACTGGATATCTCAGAAGAGAGTACTTCTTTCTTTTCTAACATAGTTGATCTCTCGTGATCGACTTTAGAGGTAACAGTCGCGAACTCACTCTTTGTTTTATCCATGTCCTCGAACATCTTAAAAGCTTCCGGAGCCGATTCGGCGAAAGCTTTGGAGAACGTTTGCGTCTCGCTTTTCCTGGTTAAATATTCCTCCTTCGACGTCACTTCCTCGCTCGATTTCTTTTCCGTTATCGTGTACTCGCTCTCTTTCTTAATATGCGTATCTTTCTTTCCAGGTTTCTCGGCTGACTTCACGTCTATGACACGTTTCGGAATTCGAGATTCGAACTCCTTCTTCTTCGTCGTTGGAGAAATTTGTTCGTCTGATTCTTTGTCATCAGGTTTATCCAATGCATGTTTCGTTCCTTTGGGTTTCGTTTCCTTCTGAATTTTGTCTTTGTCCATCTTCGCCATCGAGATGGGAATACGAGATTCTTTCTTCGTCTTATCCTCGATTTCGGTCACCGTTTTTCTATCAGAATCTCCTTTCTCCAATTGTTCTTTTTTCATTGACATCGCTTCTTCGATTCCCATTTTCCTTTCCAATTCTAAGAATTCCTGCATCTCCTTTTTCATATCTTCGGGTTTAACGTCACCGATCGTTCTGATTTCGTGCACTCCCTCCGTGACGCTCTTCTCGAACACCTTCGTTGCACCCTCGCCGTCAGCTGCCCCTTCCACTCGAATCGCTTTTAATATCTGTTCTTGTACCAACGAGCCATCCTCCTGTACTTTGTAGAAAATAGTAGTTTCTTCTGTCACAACGTGTTTCCCACTTGTCTTCTCTTGAACTACGTCCAACGTTTTGATTTCCGACGTTTCCGATCTGCCTTGCGCGATCAAATCAGCGAAAGCCTCTTGCGTTTCTTTCTTCATAATGTCACCTTCCATACCCGCAGGCTCTCGTATATCTTTCAGTTCTTCTGCGGTTACTTCATGTAGTTTCGTTTCTGTAACTTCCTTCTTCACCGGTGGTTCTTTTACTGCTTCATGTTTTTCTTCGATGGTCTTTGGTTTCACTGTAACGTCTTCCTTTTTTTCTTTTTCTTTCTCGGTTTCTACGACCATCTCCTCTTGCACAGTAGCTTTTTCTTCTTTCTCCGCCCTCGCTTTCACTTCCTTTATTCTTTCAATGGATTCATCCACTTCCTTTTCCCTTTCTTGCTTAAGCTCTTTTGCACTAATTTCCGGAGCAGGCTTTTTCTCCTTTATTTCTTCCATCTTTTCAATTGTCTCTTCTAATCTCTTTCTTTCGTCTGCGATTTCCTTTGCGCTTTTTACTGATTCTTGTGCAACGTCAACAATTAACTCTTTAATCTCTTTCTTCTCCGCTTTTACATCTTTAACCTGTTCAGGTACTTTCTGTTCCATCCGTTCTTGAAGCTTCCCTACTCCCGCGATCTCTACTTTCTTCTCCTCTTCAGGTACACTTATTTTTTTCTTTTTCTGTTCAGCTTCTTCCACGATTACTTTCTTAGTTTCAACGATTTCTTCTTTCCTCAATTCCGTTTTAGGAATATCTTTTTCCTTTGGAATCTGCTTGCCCTTCTCTTTTTCATCCACTATCTCAGCTTTCACAACCTTTTCTTTCTTCACTTCTTTAACAGTTTCTACAATCTCTTCTTTCTTCACCTCCCTCATAGGCATACTTACTTCCTTTTGAATCTGTATACCCTCCTCTGCCTTGTCAGCTTTTACGCCTTCTTTCTTCACCTCTCTTTCAGATATGCTCGCTTCTTCGTGAACCTGTCTACTCTCGTCCTTCTCTTTTTCATCTTCCGTAACAAATTCCTTCTCTTCCTTCCTTTCTTTTCGTTCGACTTCGACGGTCTCCTTCTCGATTACATACTTTTCTTCTCTCTCTACTTGAATCTTCACCGGTTTGTCCTTATCAGATTTAACAGAGTCCTGTTGTTGCAATTTGGCCGGAACCTTAGTGATCTCCTTCTGTATCTGTTCTTCGAAATACTGAGCCTTCTCTGCTACGGAGCATTCGGATATGTCTGGCACGTTCAAATCCTCCATCGTCTCCGACTTCTCCATGTCCTGGACCATATCCGCCGTATTGTCCTCCGTGACGACATTCTGCACGTAATCGCTGTCACTCTCGTTCACCGTCAGTTGAGATGTACGCGATATCTCCGACTCTGACCGTTGGTAACTCTCCCGTTTCCTCGATATGTCCTCCCAGAACTTCCTCTTCTCCGAGTAGGTTTGTCTCTCGACGCTCGGCGACAAATCTTGCTCCTGCCCGACTACTTTACTGGGATAACTAGCATCTACAGATTCTAGGGAACAAGCCGCTTTTTGCGCAAGGAATTCGTGGATAGTGACAGCATCTAGAACAACCAAGAATTATGCTCACATTACTTTTTATTAAGGTAATTACATGTGATAATGTAATACATTCTTCCCTCTCTCTTCGTATTATTTACAATTTCTTTTCAGTTGTAGGCGTGTAAGTGTGAGTGTGTAAACTATCACGTTACTATTTAGAGGTATTTTCTGTTATCTATGTAATATATAACTTTGATATAAGTATAATTTGCCCAAGAAATTGTTAATCGACACAACACTATCGTAAACTCTGTTAACCGTACACATATAACAACTCTGTTCTTCCATTTGTTTTTTCTCAAAAATAAACACAATGTCAAAAATATATTTGAACTCGTAACATGCGCACAGCACTTTAAGCATAATATATTTAATATACACGTAAACTCTAAATTGTTTTTTCTCAACTGTAATTATACTTTCTTTCTCTTTATTAGAATCATTTATCCGTGGATATTATTCCTTGACTTAAATTTAATAGCCCATACGGTTGTCTATGATAATGTTGAGGACGGCAGTTTTGTCTGCAAGTATAAGTACAGAAGATTGTGTTAATACCAAATGATAACATCGAAGTCTAGTAAATTCCTGCGATCTCCGTTCGCACGTCTAATTCTCACGATTTCAGTTAATTTTCAATTATATCGAATCTAATGTTCCAGTGTGCCATAAAAAATTGCAAAAATTTTATTACCCAAAGCAATGGTGCAAAAAGGAATGAATCTCATAGAAAATGAAATTGATCTTGTGAACACAATATTGTGTAAATTTTCTCTCGTTAGATTAACATTTATCGCCGGAAATACTTATTCTAAAAATATTTAACATTACAAAAATATGTATGTTTTCTTTTCATAATAATAAGCAGATTTAACTCTGTCTAAAATATTAACATATATTGAATAAGTGATAATTTATAACAGTCAATTCTTGCATCATATTTCGTCAGTGCAGTTCTTCTCTATCCTCCAAATCCGTGTTTTTAATTGTCGACGTCTTCGACGTCGGTATGGCAATCGCTGACGGCATCGTCGCTACCATCTTTGACATTCAGCATATTTTCCAACTTATTGACGTTTCTCATGACAACTAGCGAGGCCGTGAGGACGTCTAAATCCTCCAAAAATTCCTTCTGAGTGCAGCACGCTTCGTCCAATTCCTCTTCGCCCGACACATCCATGTCTTCCTCATCCGTGTTACACACGACGACGATGTCTGGCGTAGAGCCGCGCTCGTTACGCGGTGCCTCTTCACGGTATATCTTGTTCCTCACCTCTACAGAGAAAGGCCCGTCGCCCTCTTTGGTCATCACAGTCTCGCCGCTGTAATCGCAGAATATGTCGGATCTGGGTTGCACGAAGATCGTCGATTGCACTTCGTCCTCGCCCTCGAAGTCTTCGAGATCCGTGTCACCCTGACAAGATGACTCGCCAACCTTCAGCGTCTCTTTTTGCTCGTTCTCCGCATCGCTCGGGTAAATCTCGTCTATGTCCGTGAGATTATCCACGAAACTGCGGAGAGAGGGGCTTCTGTCGTCGGGCGACAGGATGTTCATCCCCTCGATAGGTTCTGTATCGTCTGTCGTTATGGAAATAGTAGGCCCCTGCGGTTCCTCCGTCGTGGTGCTCAGTGATCTGACCGGAGCGCTGATCGTCGTTAACTCGCCCTCGGAGTCGGTGTCCGAGAAGTACAACGACGTGTTGCTGATCATCGCGTTTAGTTTCTTTCGCGTTGATCGCACTTTGCGTTTCACTTTCGTGCCCGTGACACCGTCTTTCGTTTTCGATGGACTCGGAGGCTCGTACGGACATTCAATTGTCCTTTCGCTCGCTCCCTTGCCTTCATCGTCGGCCACAACATTGTCCGGGCATAATCCGTTCTCATTTCTACTCGTCGTACTTTCTGTTTCAACCTCCTCAGTCAGATCACTCGATTCTTCCATTATAATATTCTTGAGAAGAAATCTTCTTTTTATTTCTTAAATAATTCTCAAGTTTCTTTCCTCCGTTTTTTATTTATTTAAATTTATCGCGCAGATCTTACGTGCAAATTACTAAAGAACTTAAAAAAACCTGAAACTGAAAATCGTAATAGAAAAGGGAAATTAATGTTGAAAAAGAAATACAAAAATGTATTATATAAAATTGATGTTAAATCAAACGAAAACCAAACGGTTGTTATAATCGTAATTCTCTCTCTCAAAAAGTAGACTCACATGTACGAGACTGCGGTAGAATGGTACGTACAAAGAAGATTGCTTTTACCGGTAGTGTCTCGTGCGAAGGTTCAGATCAAACTAAACAGGCATTCGTCATAGGTAACGTCAGACGTTTGTTGATAGTGTTACGCGTATAATTAAATTTAAAGAAGCCTGACTCGATACTCGAGCCATAAGCAGATTATCTTTTCCTCTTAAACGAAAATAGAATTACGATGGAATATTGCTACCTCGTACAAAACTGAACTTTTTCGAGGGCAACTTTTCTTTTTTTTCACGTATTACTATCGAATTCATTTAAAAATTTCACGGCCACTTTTGTAATTAAGTCATTCGTCCATTTGGACCACGTAAGATTATGATGATGTTAAAGCAATTTGTATCTGGTAATCTTTGCTTACGTAAATTTTCTTTTTTGCACCTTGCATTTGATCTCATAGTCAAATGGATTGTCTCATTGCGTTCGACTGTTTAAACTATTTACAGTTGAATTAGTATTTGATATTCACTAATATCCCGTTTTATTAAAATGTTCGAATTTTGTAGAAATTGAAGTTTCATTGCTCCAACGTTATCATTCGTTTAATCTAGAAAAGAAATAAAAAAAAAATTCATACCTGTTCTTTCCTTTTGCAACGTGTCTGTAATAAATTTCGTTTCAGAGGGCGAAGTGTCCTTAGGTTCGTCGCGTTTCTCTTTATGCTCCTTCTTGTATTTCGATTCATAAGTATCCAATTTCTGATTGATAATATTCGAATCTTCACATTGCAAAAAGAGAACATTAAGTTTTGTATCCCCTTGTAATTTGTGTGCATTTTTTACACGACTGAGAACTTTACCTTTCACTTGCTTTTCGAGTTTAGTTATCATCTCTGGAAGAACAATATTTAACACGCAAATCGGCTGCTGTGGCGGCTCTCCCTTAGCGATTTTCGGCTCTCGCATGAACAGCATTCTAGCCACCGGGTCTAACAACGGGTCTTTCACTTTCACGTGGAACGACAAGCGATTCTGTCGGAAAGCTTTGAAAGTGAACTTCAACTGGGCACCTGACTTCGTCACGGGAATTAAATTTCCGCTGAACTCGATGTAAAGGTCTTTTCCATCCAGTGCCTGTAAAAGAAATATCAATTCTTAAAAAACTAAATAGGACCTTCATCGAATCTTCATTATTCCGATTGTGTATTCCGAGGGAAACTGATAGGTGAGAGAAATACGTACGCCAAAATAATTATACGTATCAACGAATATAATAATATGTAGTTAAACTCAATTATTAATTAACACAATATATGGGGGTGTATTTAGACTTGCGGGGGAGAGCAGGTGTCGTTCACGACTTTTACATGACTCGCGCTCAAGTAAATTCCAAAATACGTAAAAGTACGTAACCCAACAACGATTTGTTAATAATACTCACTTCGACGTCGCGGCTTTTGACAATTTCAACGAATTCTTCTTGCCTCTCCAAAGTGTGCATCCCTTCTTTCCCATCCGTCATACAGAGTACCCTCAACGTCGCTTCGAGCACATCCATTCGTTTCGAATATATAACAAAACTGTAATAAAATAATAATTATACAAACAAGTGAACTATTCTCAATATTAATTAGATTAAAACCTATATTAATATGTACTTGGTAATATATGGCACGAATAACGATTCCTCGTAAAGCTCAGTAGCCATTTTCGGGACCGCCTCTATGTTTCTGCAGTCCATTAGCCAAAACCGTGCGGACACGGTAGAAGTAAAAGATACCGTGTCGTTCATAAAAGTCAGTGGCGTCGAGCCGGTGACGTCTTCCCATTGCGATTCGTTGGTACCACCTTCGGTCATTTTCCAAACAATTAACAAAGACAAGGTAGAATACGTTTTAGTTAAAGGGACATTTTCTTTACCTGCGATGCTACAAAGAAGACGTAACGTCGGGGTTCCGCCACCGTATTGATTGATCATCCCTTTGTTCGCAGCTTGGGGCACAGGTATCGTAAGACTGATCGGTTTATGGAACTTCCGGCGTCGCGGTTCGATGGTTATTACCGGTGACACGGCCACACAATTGCCTAGTAATTTAGCTGTGAGTTCTGCTGGTATCAGGTGTGCCTGGAAAAAGAGAAGGAAATAAGATTCATTAATTTACTTTTTATTCTGTAGAAGATTTGTTCTTTTATCATTTATACCAATTTTATGAAGGTAATGAAGATTGGCTCGATTTACCTGTAATCTAACTTTGATCTTCTTCGTCAATGCACCCGGCGGGAATACGGCTTGAACGTCATTAGCAACGCTCGACGTTACGATTCCACCCTCGGCACCAATTACATGAACTTCTTGCTTAATTCTCGTAATGATGGCAAAGTACTGAGGGAAAGTCGTCGTTATTATGCGAGTGATCCTGCCAGAGTGTGCAGCGCTCATTTGAGGATCTGTAAAACATGACAGTGGATTTATCTCTCGTATAAAAAGCTAATTAAAATTTTCTGATTAATATAAATTATAATATTTGAAAAATATCGTACCGTATGAAGTGTTCAAGAGTGTGGTGTCATTCTCGTCAGAATTGTCGTGTTCCTTCCAAGTCTCTCCGTTCTCGCTTCTCAGAATGATAATCTCCCTTTCCTTGCCTCGAATAGACGCGAAGTGCGGTATGTCGAGTAACACAGGTCTGGAATTGAAACGAAATATTGTGTTTTTCTAACAATAATATTCTGAATATAATGTGGGTGAAGGGGTAGTTACCCCAGGAACGTTGCGCGAATTGGTCCCATCTCTATGATACGAGTCGCCAAAGCCTCGCCCTCCATCAAAGGAGGAGGATTTGCGATTTTGTTCGGTTTTATCAACCTGCACGTGACGCGAATCGGCATCGTCGCTCTTCGCGGTGGCACGATTATCCGTACGCCACTGTGCCTGCACCCTTTCATCGCGCCCCCGCGAGCATCCACCAAGAAGCTCACTAGAAATCTATAAGTTCAACTGGTTTTTGTTTCCGCTATTTCATATCACAGTGCAACGATGAATCGTTCGAACAGTACGAATTACAATTTACGCAGTTCTACTGGAATTAGGAATCATGAACAGGACTTTGTCCGTTATACGTGAAATGGTTTTAGTGATCACACTGAAAACTGTAAAAGAATATATAAAAAAATTGATAGTGGAGAGCGCAGGACGTTAGTTCCTCTATTTTTCACTCTAATCATTGGAACACGTGAAAAATGTTACATCGACGATGGTTACTTACGATCTGAAATGAAGCCGGCTGTGTAAATGAAAAATGTTCAATTCGATTAATAATAATAATTCACACGACAAGCGTCAAGCTTTGAATAAATATGCATGTTTATACTTAATAAAGCGGTATGAAAATAGCGTATCGTAGCGGTTTTCGTGAAATGTTCCGTACATACCCCAGATTAAATCCGTCAGTATCAAAGTTTTCTGCTAGACAATAATTATTGCTTTGAGTGAACTCCTGTTTCTCTTCTTTTGTGACTAGTCACAAACAATTCGATAGATTACGTAAAATGATGTGGTGACAACTTAACAGCGAGCTTAAACATGCCTTTACCTTGTCTATGCACCGGATCGTCCCGCGTAACGTCGATCGGCAGGGAATCGTCCCTCAAGCTCTTCATCAAGTCCGCCGTCAGGTACCGATACGGCTGCTCGCTGATCAACGCGTCTGAACCTTTAAATTAATACTAATTGTAGATTTTGTTTCTTTTCTTTTTTAAATGTGAATGATGAATAAAATGAATTTACGTACCTCCTTCATCGTCGGAGTCGGACATGAAACTAGTTTCCTGCAAACTTTCGGGTGCAATTACTTTGTACTTCTCGTCCCAATTTTTATTATCCGGTGCCAATGTATCGTAAGACAGGCCCTTCAACACCTCCATAACAGATATATATCCCAATTTTTGAGCTATGTTCAACGCAGTTAAACCGTCCTAAAATAATTATTTCATTTTCGTCGTTTACCTCGATATCGTTTAATTGGATGAAAAATTATAAAACAAAAATATATTAACTTGATCAGAAAGTTCTGTCGTTTAATACAGTGAACGTTTCATTAAAAATAAATATTTGCTTTCTTTTTAAGAGATAATAACTTTCTCATCTATTTAATATAAAAATGTTACTCACATTGGTGCGTGCTTTATGAGATGCATTTCCTTCTAGCAAAGCGGTAACAATGTGGGCATGACCTTGCTGAGCGGCTTGATGAAGCGGTGTGTAATTTTGATTAGTTTTCACGTCGATACTTGCATTGTGTTTCAACAGAAATCGGATCATCGACAAATTTCCAAAGTGCGCTGCGATATGTATCGGCCGATATCCAGTCTCGGTCTCGCTTTCCACGTTCGCACCGTTTTTAACGAGAATAGAGGCTACTTTAATGAAATCCTCTTGGGCGCACAGGTGCAACGCGGTCAAACCGTTCTGTACATAATAAATTGAAAGAGAATTAGAATTAGAATTATTATTAAATTATAATAGTTAACACTTTATACTAAAGGAAATAAAATTGTAATTACAAACATATTAAAAATAATATAAAAGTCAGTCTAAGCGTTTAGGTTCAATCTAGAAATATATCGTTTTTGTCCGACCTTCGATTTGTGATTCGGATCAGCTCCGTGTTCAATCAACAGATTCGTCATATCGTAGTGTCCCTTTTGCGCGCTCAAATGTAAGGGCGTGAATCCCGCTTTAGATTCCGCATTCGCGTTCGCCCCATTCTCTAACAACGTTGAAGCAATGTCCATCTGCAGAGTTTTTATTAATGATTCTTTCTTAAAATTCAATTATTAAATAGTTTTACCAGACGTGAAAAGAAATTAAGAAATTAAATAGTCGTACTAATTATGAATATTTTCAAATAATTTCAATGACAATGTTTCCTGGTCATGATTGTTTTTACCTGATTTTTTCGAGCGGCTATATGCAGGGGTGTATGCCCATTTTGTGAAGCTAAATGCGGAGACGCTCCTTTCTCCAGCAACAGATTTGCAACATTCGGATGGTCGTAATGACATGCCAATTGCAACGGAGTAATATCATTCTGAAATATTTATATTGTATTATATAATTATCAGTCAGAAATGAATCTATAATCGAAAAGTAATTATTTTTATCAAATTTATTGTGGAAGACTTTATAAAAATAATTTAATAATTTTTATTAATATTTGTCTAAATGCTAAATTCTAATAAAAATAAAAAAAATCGGTTCTGTACTATAATATTTAATGAAGAAATATAATAATATGTACAAACCTTTCCTTGTACGTCTAGATTGCAATCTCTTTGTAACAATATCTTTGCTACGCTCATGTTACCGTATTTAGCTGCGATATGTAAGGGTGTAAAACCATTTTTAGTTGTAGCTTTAAGGGAAGCATTGTTTTCCACGAGAATAGTTGCCACCTGTATATAAAAATGTTCAAACTCAAGTTTAGAAGTTTGTTCACTCTTAAAAAAGTACGTAATCGTAATTCATATTTGTCTTATATAAAAATACTGTCTACATACATGAAATATAAAATGAGATACACGATCTGATCATAAAACACAAATTCAATTATAATGAGCCAATCGATTAAAAAAACATGATTTCCTAAAATTTCAATTCGTAATTATATCTTTCATACATATATGCAACTTACCTTCGAGATAATCATTGAAATAAAATTTGTACAATTCATACTCACATCTTGTATTACAAAAGCATTCAATGAATTGGCTTCGATCGAAGGAAATAATATATTGTATTGTAACGTAGCTGATTATATAAAATAAACTTTTGTATAGTAAAATACACAACCACAATAAAGCAAGGTATTAAATTAAATGTACATAAAAAATAATCTAGTATTACATTCCATGGATCAAGATGCACGTCTACTTTCGAAGAACGTTCGAATTCTTACCTTGCGAAAACTACCTTACAGATACACATAAATGGTAAATGAGCATACGAGGGTGGGATAAAAAATAATGAGGTCGGGTTATTCATGTTTCTTTTTTAAGGATTTTAATAATTATGAACGGTAAACACAGCGTCGAAAGAAGGCAACGTAAATAATAAGTGATGCACGATGAAAAATTTTATTAAAATTCATTACAGATAAATAACTTAACATAAAATATAACAAGTATAAACGAGAAATTAATAAACAAGGTGCAAAATGAAAGTGTGAAATGATATAAATAGGAGGAGGCTGTGTAAACAACAGATAGAGAGATAGAGAGTGTGTAGCAGAATTTCATTTTTAAAACTACGTGACTATATAAGGTATTCGCGGTACCGCGTCCAAAATAAGTACAATCTACTCTGTGTGCTGATATAATCCGCTATTTTCGAAATTTCTTTGTACATTACCTCCTCCTGCCCCTCTTTCGCTGCGATATGCAATGCTGTGTACATATCCTTCGTGGTGGTGTCGACTGCTGCACCATGTTGCAGTAGCAGCATAACAATATCGATATTTCCTAACCGCGATGCAATGTGCAAGGGTGTCTGTTGTTCCTAAGAAGAAATCGCAAGAATTATCGTATCACGTAAATACGATTGACATGGATTGAAGTCGGTGAGATTCGAAACATAGGTCAGTTCCTTTTCTTTAAATTCAGTTGTTTTGTAGTAGATTTAAAAAAACGAAATAAGGGAGCATGTAATGTAGCTGTAGTTGTCAGATACAAAAAAAAATTCTACGTAATTTCCTTCTAACTCCACTTGTTAAGAAGTATTTGGCGATGGACAAAATAATTAACTCCATGACATACAATGACGGACAATGGGAGACGTCATTCTACGTGCCAAGAATTTAAATAGTATTTTTCGGACGCATCAAATTCTGTTTTATTTGTATGTCCAGGAGTTCATCGATTACTCCTGAAGTATTCGAGATAGAAAAAAAATTTATGCAACCCTTCTTAGATAATAGCAATACCTACAACTTTTATTTGAAGCATTTTTCGAAATTTTGAGAAAAAAGAAATTTTTATCCCGAGATTTTGTCACCCCTTCAGATTTTACAAAATTTTTGTTAATTGCAAATAACTGCTTACCTGTTGCCGCCAGCGAAAAATGTTTGAAACGAAAGTTGTGAAACTTTTTACGTCTAAACATAATGCGTATGCACTATGAAAACGAAATGCAGTAATAATAATGCAAGCAAACGAACGGAAACTAACGAGACTGGTTAATGGAATATACGAACCATTCAACAAGAGTGAACACATTTTAAGCGATCATTTATATGTACTGTTTCATTAAAAGTTCGTAGTTTCGTTTTTGAATATGAAGAAAATCTGACAACATTAACACCGTTTCGTTTATTCTTTACTCACCCTTGCGCGAGCATCGACCTTGGCTCCATTTCGCAATAAAATTCGTATAATATCTGTCTGATTAGCTCTAGCTGCCAGATGCAGAGGTGTTTCACCCCTTACCGTTGGCACGTCAGGATTCGCCTCGTGTTGCAGTAGAAATATCACGATATTCATGCATCCCATAAAACTGGCCACATGTAACGGAGTCAGTCCAGACTGGAAAATATACATAATGCATTCTCGGTTAACATATTCTTTCGTCACGTCCACATCTGTTCGAAAAATCTCCTCCGCGCGTTTAAAGTAGATACATAGAAATGATCATCGTGATAGTACTTATACCCGTTAACCAGTCTTTTAATAATTAAATGATTTATTAAAAGAGTGCTCACTTAAACCTGTCATATTATTTATACATTAATCATAATTTTATGTCTTGTCTTCTTATTTAATTACTGTAATTTATAAATGAATTTCATTTCTTGACGTGTATAATTAAATTCGTGTGTATAAAGTGCTTCAAATAACCAGTCTTTTAATAATTAAATGATTTATTAAAAGAGTGCTCACTTAAACCTGTCATATTATTTATACATTAATCATAATTTTATGTCTTGTCTTCTTATTTAATTACTGTAATTTATAAATGAATTTCATTTCTTGACGTGTATAATTAAATTCGTGTGTATAAAGTGCTTCAAATGCGTCTCTGAACTAACATTCTAAACATAGCATCTCATTAGAGAGGTCTATTTAAATGCAGATAGGATCAATGTAAGCACTCCCACGTGTAGGTACACGTACGTACGATATATCCGATTTTAGTTGTTCCCTCTAATTAAACCGGGGATTGTTGACGAAAGCGTCAGAATTATGGGAAATTAATTATAAAAAATGAAAAATGAAAATGAAAGAAGCTGTCTGCGATTGAAAGTTGGTGTTATAGGCAATATTAAATAACAGATTGATCGATTACCTCGGTGGTGGACTCGATCGAGGCTCCGTGTTTTAACAGCAGTTCGACGACTTTTATTCGATTCTTCTTGCAGGCGATGTGCAGCGGCGTGAAGCCGTTCAAAGCGCGTGCATTCGGGTCGGCTTTTCGGTCGAGAAGCAGTTTCGCGACACGGACGTGGCCACAGTGAGCGGCGACGTGAAGGGACGTTAAATAATCGATCGTCACTTCGTCCACCGGCGCTCGGTGGTATAACAACACCCTCGCAGCATCCACGTGATCGCCTTGCGATGCCATGTGCAGCGGCGCCAGTCCATTCTGAAAATTGCCATTCGCATTTACGAGCGAGTTAAACTTTCTTTTCAAATGAGGAACACATCGTCATTTACCGTTCTACGAATAGTCTAATAAATTAATATTCTAAAATTTGTTATGGTCCCTGTGAAAAAAATTATACTGATGAATTAGATGAAAAATTTGTGGATTACCTTCGTCCGTGCGCTGATGGGTGCGGAATGTTCGAGGAGAGTGGTTATTACTTGTTCGTGTCCGGATCTCGCCGCGCAATGCAGCGGCGTTAAACCATCCCTAGTTTTAGCATCGATTTGCGCGGAATTTTCTAATAATACTTTAACCATATTGTTTTTACCCCATTTTGCGGCCACGTGTAAAGGGCTGATGTTGTGCTGATAAAACGGATTGCGAATATCAATAGGCAATACGTATTCGTTATTGGTTCCGGTTTTATCTTACCTTCGCTAAATAATTCACGTCGGCGCCACGTTTTATTAATAATCGGGCTATTTCCTCGTTACCGTAATGAGCGGCGATATGCAGCGGCGTGAAACCGCTTTTCGATGTAACGTCTGGCTTGTGATCATTCTAAAAGAACACCAAGATACAATCGATCAAAAATAATAAGAAGAATTATCCATTATTCTTAAGTAAGATATTATTAAGGTACATTTTTACCTGCAATAATAGATCGGCAGCTTTACAGTCATCCTTCTTAGCCGCAATATGTAGCGCCGGTAGTCTAACTTTTCCCTTAGAATCGTTTTCTAAAAGAACGCTGACAACTTTATCGTGTCCTTGCTGCATCGCCACAGCAAGAGGTGTAAATCCATCCTGAAAATCATAATTTGTTAATCGCGATACAATAAAATTACGTATTCAGTGACGTGAACTACTGCTCCTTTGTAAAATAGTATTCACGTTATTTAGTTTATTAAAAAACTTTCTCAACGATGTGATAATGAATTCATTTTGAAAAAGGTACCGACGTAAACAACCGATAAATAATGCATCACCTCAGTGGCGAGACTTTGATTGGCTCCGTTACTGAGAAGCAATTTAACGACTTGATCGTGATTCTCCTGGGCAGCCATATACAAAGGTGTGAACCCATTCTGAGACTGAATATTCACTGCAGCACCGTATTGAATAAGAATATTTACTATCTCCGCTTGGCCGGCTGCAACCATATTGAAACAGTTATTTAATGAGGCATAAATTACAATACGAATGATCCTTCTTACCCAGCGAAGCTATGTGCAATGCAGTGTTCCCCTTCTTCGTGGCTGCGTCCACTTTAGCACCCCTTTTTAATAATTCCGTTACTATCTCAACGTGGCCATCCTTCGATGCTAAATGTAAAGCATTTAAGCCGTTCTGTAATACGAATTACGAGATCAATTAATACCATGTATTTGAAGTTCTGAAGATCTGTGCTTATTAAATGAATAATTATCTATTTACCGAATTGGCTGTATTAATATCTAAGTCGGTGTCGAGGAATTCGATCACTTTTTCGAGGTTCCCAGACCGAGCAGCACGAAGAAATGCTGTCGTGTCGTCAGCCTAAGCATAAAGCAGTGCACCATTAAATATAACATCACTTTTATTCATTAAAAAAAATTGTCACTGACAATTTTAAATATTGTCGTTTAAAATGATATGTACATGATCAGCGAATACTGCATACACCTATGTATAGTATATAAATAAATGGATTATTATATTGTATAATAACATGCGTATATCTATTCCTATTGAAATTGGATGTTAAAAGCGTTTACGAAATTGAAATTAATTTTACCATACGGTCAATTCTTCTGCATTCCCGGTTTACTTCGAACGTTTAAGTAAATCCGACAAGCCGATGCATATAATGCAATTGGTACCATTACATGCTGTGATTTGACCGTGACCTTTATCCTATCATCGCGTTTTATGCAAATTCCGTTTGATGAATCCTCTGCGCTAAATCATTTGCATCTATTTGCACATTTCGCCTGCGTTCAAGATTAATACTCGCGTAACAGTGATTCACACGGCGACAACCGGCTCATGAAACGTCTACCCTCGCTATATACGCACTTGCTTACAAATCACCCCCTCCCGAATACTTTTTTCATACGCCTCTTCAATGGTTATCATACAGAATTATTCGAGATCGTCGGGTGTTCAAAGGAACCGAGCGAGATTTTATGTAACGAGCAATCGAATGGTGCGCTTCTTCTCAAGAGGGAAATCGTACGATGTGTCATACGAAGTTCACACCCCTTCGATCAGCATCGAGAGAGAGAAAGTAGAATACCGGCTACGCTCCGGCTACGCAAAATTAAAAAGAATCATACCTGACTAGTACTGTCCGTGACCATTGTGCTCAATGACCGGGCTAGACGCTAATCCCTAAATCTTTCACTTGGCCAGCGGCCGCCGGACGCGAAGCTTCTTTTTCCTCGGCACGCGTTAAATCACCATTCATGCACTCCTGGGGTAACGCTAAAAGGTGAATAGGAATATAGGAGCCGCCCCGTATACCAAACCAGGGCGCAGAATCGAGCGGCAACGATTACGGGAAAAACAGGGGTTGCATCGCCGTTGCCTTTCTCACCCCCTTCTCGGACCACCTGTCCTTGTTACTCCCCCGCCGGGCTCGTATCACCGCGTATCGGGCCTCGTCATCGGGCCGCGGGGCGCAAGCGCCTATCAAACTTGATCGCACTCCCACACGCATACTACGTACCTACACGCGGACGTTCCATCCCTTCGCCGGGGGTGTACTGGGTGTCTCGCCTAAAACGAGCTATCTAAATTTTTCATGCCACCAAAGAACGTGTGCTTCCAAAAATCTGCCAACTGCAGACATACGAGTGTTTCAGACTCCTTTTTCTTCTCAAGTTACGATCGGTCTTGGAGATCGTTTTTATGTAGATAAGGAGTATTTTTAGTATTGCATGGACAATTAGGTGGCCTTGTTTTAGGTGAGACACCGCATAGGAGCCTAGGAAGATTAGCCAGGTCTCGCAACGTGCGAATCATCGCTGACGAGCGAATATTACTATAAATATGATGCTTTTCTACCAGAATCCGCTCGACGGAAATCAAATTCAACAGAATCTTATTAGATTGCTTCGGCGAGAAATAAATGGGAAAGTAAAATTTTGATCTAGACGAACTACTTTATAAATATCTATTCCTTATCTTGCATCTTGCATACTGTTTTAATATAAGAAGAGCTATATTATTCTTATTTTACACGTGCAGTATATTGATTTACGTTTACACATTACATCTGCAGGTGTAACTAGCTTATACTACGTTCTTTTTAATTTTACATTACTTCGTAATGAATACGCTTAAATACTGTACATTAAATAAAAATGGTAAATGTAACGTTCTTTTAAATTGGTAGCGATGGACGGGTTAAAGAGAATTGTAAAACGCAGTAAATGAATAATCATTTATTAGTATTATTACATTGTAGAAAATATTATTGTCAATCGCAGGGAATATAAGAAGAGATAAAATAAATTATTTATCCTCAGTCGCTTCAAACATTATCACACGCTCTCAAAACTCAAGGCTATCAGGGTCATTGACACGGAAAAATATCTATTTCCGTAAGAAACTTTTTATTATCAAACGCGAACTTGTTATTTTATGCTTAATCAAATGCAGAGGTGCGTAACTTTTCAATTGTTTATAATTGAATTAATAATACGTTAAATATATATATCTGAGTCATTCTAAAAATATCAACTTATTAAACGCTGGACATTCGCCAATGTTACAACATAAATATTAACTTTGTAGATGACACACAGTCGATATCTTCCCGATATCGGTATCACAACCATGACTTTGTCATCGAATAATTTATGCCTCGATTATGATCGTAATTACTTAATCTAGAATAACCGGAAACTTTTATTGGAAGGAACAAGAAATATTTGAAACGCCTATGCGTGTACGTGTGCCGTGATGCGCAAGCTTTAACACACAAATAGGAAAATGCATTCGTGTCACAAAACGTTGCCACACATTCTTTTACCTGGAACCTAATGATCGGCGGGAATGTCTCCTCTGTCGTCATTTCCAAATAATAAACTGTGTATTTCGTTTGACAGACTTTACGTATACGTATATTTCCTACGCCCCATACTGAAAACGTAGGTCACTCGGAGGATATTTATAGCATTCTGTTTTATTCTCATGAACGGCTTTGTGGTGCATCTGCCTCGATGATTTACATATGCATATATTTTATTTAAATCAATGAAACCCGCTTAACGATTATTTAAGTTTTTTTTTAATTTAATATCCTCGGTCGCCGAGAAGAGCAACCGAGCCTCCGAGGATTCAATTTTTAAATACGAGAATCAGAATTGTAGTTATATATAAATTCGCGTCACTTTTAAAGTACTTCAATTTTTTTAAATAAATTACTTATGGGCGGATTAAAATAGAGTCGTCTTCGGGTTCAATTCATTCTTAATTGCCAGCCAAAAGTATTCTTCTCAATTATTTGATTAAGGACAAAATAAAAATGCAATTTTTCTTATTAACAATATTTCTTTATTACATATATTCAATTCCACCAAAAGCTAATGGAAAAACTTGGACTTAAAGAAGTCACATGATGCCACCATTTCGGAGGGATGTAGAGCATATCTCCTGGCTTCAAATAAATCATAAAACCTTTAGCTCTCTTGAGATTAGGCCATTTTTCGTAGTCAGGATTCAAGGGGTCAACTTGCGCCGTATTATTCAGCAATCTCGAATCATACGGGTACAGATTAGGTGAATCGTCTGGATGATATAAAATCACTCTCTTGTACCCAAATACCTGAAATTAATTATAAACTCTATGTAAAATAAATATTCAGATTACTATAACGTAAAATTGATGTGCACTTTCTTACTTGACACAAAAAGTTGTTCTTGGGATCAAAATGGAGCGGCGATAACGTCCCACCAGGTCCAAACCAAGCGTTTATATCCGGTTGCTCGACCTCATCGTTATCTGTGAAATTGCAATATTCGGGAATCGTGAAATCATCTTTCAGTTCAGGAATCTGAAATCATTATTATACGATTATTCTTTAATGCCTAATGTTCGAAACAAAGAAAACCAACCTGGTCAAACAGTTGATGCTGAGCTAAGTAGCCGACTTGATTACTCTTTTTTAATACGTATTTTTGTAAGAATTCGGAAAAGCTGATAAGCTGTTGCGTCCAACTTTCGTCGGTGTAACGCGATCCAATCTCGATGGGCACTGTTCGATTTCCGGCCACTTTAACTAAGTAATCTAAGTTCTTCCATTGTTCTAAGGCTTTCCAATGTTTAATACAATCTAAGACATATCATGAATAAGAATTATATATTTAATTTATATTAAATGCATTACCTTTCAATACTGCTGGGACTTTTGGCATAAATATGTCTTTGTAAAATAACTCCATCGACGGTTCAACGTATTGTGGAACTTCACTACACCCAGGTAGTAAAGATTCACACAAATTTTTCGTATCGATCACTAATTCTTCTAAATTAAACGATTTCAATGAGTGTACTGAAAAAGAAATAGAAGTAGAATTTGAATTGTAAAGATCACACGCATCTTTTTACCATGTTACTTACTAGTAAGATTATTTAATTCTGAAGCAATTTTTTGTAACAAATCAGGTATGTTTGGGAGGGGTGCACCCAATAAAATACCTTTATCAATTTGCTCCATGATGGTCTTTAGCAGAATCGTGTTCTCTGCAGATTCTTTGGTATTATTATCGTATTGAAACTCTAATAATGCTACCTATATAAGTATAATACTAATAAATTATTGTACAAATGCGTAGAGAATGAATTATGATATACCTTCAAAATAGTACATAGTGAATAACTGTATCGATATTCAAGGGGAACAGATCGCCAGTGACCAGAATTTAACACTTCCCATGTTTTGTCCAAACAAGCATCAACTAAAGTTAATGAATCATTCAACCACTTCGATGGTGGTTTCCTTTCATGAAAGAAAACGATTATTAAATTGCCGATATTGCTTTAGATAAAACATAAATGTGTTGTAATGTTTGTGTTCGATTATTGTATAGGTAAATGAATAAATTAATTGTCTTTCTACAATAAGTTTCTTTAATTTAAATATAAAAAAGTGGACATATAAAAATGTTTATTTACATTTCATTTTCAACGAAGGTGTTTAATTTAATTACTGTCGTTATTAAATGTACCTTCATCTCAACAGGTAAACAATTCTGAGCATTCTCTGCCATCAAATCCCAAGGGATCAATCCCGCAGTAATGGTACAAGACATTTTCTAAAAACATTTGTAAATAAGAATATTCATTAAAATTCAATCGATTCAAGTTATATACAATGTTTTATTATTTCTGTCAGTTGGTTTGTACAAATATGGCCACTGTACTATGTGATAATCGACTATGTAATACAAGATCTTCCCTGTCAATGATAATGTTTTAACTCTGCAGAAACTTTCAATGAATACAATAGTAATATCCATGATATAAAAAAGTTTAAACAGGAAAGCTATTGTACACAATGGAACGCAAGTGCCTGGTCCATTACATAAAAGCAGTCGTGGAGATTCTCTCCAGATATGAGGAATTGATTCCACTGTCGCACGAATAGTAGTATAAATGGAAGTGTAATACGACTGATGGATTTCTCTGCTTCTACGAATTACGATCGTCTTATAATCAGTATTATCCTTCTCTAGCTCTTTAACTTTTTGTATACTCATTAAATCTGTATCAGCATATACATATACTCTAGGGTAGTAATTCTTAAAATCTAAATATCTAAGGATTCTCATCATCTCTGCAGTATGTCCTCCAGATCCTAATATTATCATTGTTTTAGCAGGACTAGTCCGAACTAATTTCTTTTCTTTTCTCTTGTGTGTACGAAACATGATGAAATATATCCTTGTAATCATTACGAGAAAAATGAATATAAAAATATAAAAATAATACATTGTATTCCTTTGTGATCTGTAACAATTGCAATCAGATAATTAGTTTATTTAATTACTGTGCTTATCGTTAGGTTAAATTATCTTCACCTTCTTGCTTAAGATAATAAATTGTCTACTAATGTCACGACATTTCAATTTTGTGTTGCATGTCAGTATAACACATATAATTGATTATCTGTCATTAATTAAGCTCCAGGAAGATGTACATAAAATATAAATTTAAAAACAAATGTTGGACTACCGAAGAGATTTAGGTTATTTGAGGTTATTTACACCACCGAGAAGAAATTACTAAAGAGTGGCAGCCTTCGCACGAAAAGGTCTGCAATTTTTGACGCCCTCTCTGGCAAGACATTCGTTGATGAACCTAAAGTCTCATATAAGATTGCCACTCTTTAGTAATCTCTCCTCGGTGTCTGAATTATATGAAGTTCGTTCTCTTCTTATTTGTTTTCATTTTCAAACCTACTGACAATTTCAAACCCATGAACGCGAATTCAAAACGTTCAAATTTAAAATTTCCTCTAGCGGCTAGAGTCTAGCCACGTTCCCAGTTTTAATACGAGCTTTGTGCAAGTAAGAGTTGAACTTAAGAGATAAATAAAACAAATCGGTAAATATGCAAAAGACCTCTACGATTCGTAGATCGTCTACAAATCCCGTGAGGATATCCATGCTTGACAGAGAAGAGAACTTGACGCGAGCAGAACCTAGAAGAACTCAAACTTTGAAGCCAAAGGCTTCTACTTCATCAACCGACTCTTCTCATATCCCCAGACCTCGTATTCGTGCGTTATCTGCCGATAGAGCAAGTATCAAGGGGTCTGCTCTAAAAACTACAGGTGAAAATTTGTAATATATATTCGTAATACATATGTATATTTATTTTAGAATGCAATGAAAAGTCTATGACGGTTTTTAACGTTGTTTCAACAGGTAAAGCTTCTATGTGTTATGCCCCATCAACTCCAAAGACACCTGTAACGAATTATGGCAAAACTCCTGTACATATTACAAGTGCCAGTTCCAATAGGAATTATGCGATACTTGGGCTTCCTACGGGCCGGAGATCATTGTCGGCAGATCGTGCCAGCAACCTTGGTGCAAAGGGCCCTAGGAAGGATACACGACCGTTAACCGATAAAGCTTACCAAAATCATATGCTCAGCAAGATTGATAATTATTTTGCTATGAATCAATGTTCTTCTATGCTGAACAGTAATGGTAGTTTTAAACCTACTACCTTAAAGATGCTTGTGGAGATCTCAGGGTACTTACTAAAAATGTTAGACATTAAACAAATTGTGACGATCACAAATTATGTAGAGGAACTGCCGAAAATTGCTAAAAAACTTCATTACCCGGGGGTGATGAATAAGTCTTGGTTAAAGACTGCTAATGCTATGCATTCTTGGCCTAATGTATTAGGCTGGGTCTGTTGGTTGGTAGAAGCTTGCGAAGTAAGGAGAATTGCTTTCGAGAAATATAATATAGAAAATCTGCCATTTCTGGGTGATGAGAAGCAAGCAAAGATTTATAAATGCATTCTGCTTTCAATGCTGGATTGCTATCATGTTTGGAACAACGAAAAACTCGACGAGGAGGCATCGTTGATTGAGAAACATTTACAAGAAATCGAAGAGCTGCAAGGTGTTAGCGAGGACGACTTAAACAGAGCGCGTTCCGATTTAGAGGAAGAACTTATTAAATTAACAGCTACTGAAGAGAATGCAAACGAGATTGATGATGAAGTGAAACGCTTGCAGGATGAACTTTCGTCTTTGCAGAAGGATCTGGTGAAGCAGGAAAACGACATCAGGGCAAAAGAAGAATACTTAAAAGCAATAAATATCGAGACGGAGCAAAAGCATGCTGAATGCAATGCGTCATGCAAACAAGTCCGTGTACAGAAAAAGCAGCAGAACGAATTGCTTGCTATCGTTAAACAGCAGCCAATGAGCAAAGCAGAGAAAGATACTATCGTAAAGAAATGTACAGAGATTCAAAATTATATGCTTCAATACGATGAATACCTACAAGAGATACAAAAAGAAGTCTACACTACGGACATCAAATTAGCTTCCACTAATAATAACTTAACAAAAGCCATACTATCGTATAACAAGGAAATATTCGTGCACTTCAGTGATAATGTAGGTAATGTAAATTTAGAAGAGTTACAGATGCCAGAGGAGGGTATATTGCGTCCTGAAATCATGGAAACACTAAATGCCAAAGCGAATGCAATGAACGATTTGAAAGAATTGTTAAGCAGCCAGATCATGGAGAAGGAACGTATGTTAGAACTGAATTCGAACGAGTTGGAATCTCTTCAAGAAAAGATGAAAATTTTGGAGGACAAAAACATTGATATCGTTAACGAGATGAAAGAATTGAAAAGTTCAGTGAATAAAATTAAAACAGACGCTAAAAACGAAGAAGCGAAGTTGAAGGAGCAAATAAACAATCTGAAGAGAGAGATTAAAGAAGTTCAAGATGCTATGCCGAATACACAGAAGGTGAAGGCTGAATTAAAGGAAACGGAAGATAAACTGAATGCTGTTCGTCGAAGAAAAGAATATTTAGAGGAATCCGCGAGACTGTTTTTCGACCAGTTTTATGAAATCTTGGCGGATCACAGAAACAAACTGCACGATATATTAACGAAACGAAGAAAATGATCTAATCATGTACATAATTTTCTCATTGTCGTTCATATATTAGTAACTATTTTCTTGTAGTTACACTTACATACATATTACATTACGTTAATTTCATTCAATGAATTGTAAATATTATATACATTTATAAAATAATAAAAACGAGTTTATATTTGCTTTAATTATAATCCTGTTACACTTAATCGCACGTCGTCAGTGTTCGAACGAGGTGTATAAAAATTGAAAAATGAAAAGAATATCAAGGCACTGTAGTTCAAACTTGCTTGAATTGCGATGAAAGGAAATGTCCGAATTGTTTCGAGACACGCGTGGCTGTATGAATTTAATTATTTTTATTTAGAACGTCTAAAAGTTCCCCTTATCAAATCTGACGTTGACATTCAAAAACGTGAAATATCAACCTTACTGTCAGATTACATGATAAATCATTTTGAAACTAAATACAATATATCAAATATTTTCGTTACATTCCCTGTACAATACGAGGAGAAAATGACTGTTTTAAACGAATTAAATGTACAAGATGCTTTATACATCTTAACTGCCAGGATTATACTGGCGAATATTCCAGCGTATGGTAAGCCTCCTCTGCGTGCGATGTATGTCAGTTTATTAAAGAAGCAGAGAGGTTAGATTATTGGTTACAAATCAACTGATGCACCGAACATTTGCTTAACTTGAGAGATGTATTTTTACACTATTCCAGCATAATGAGCAACAAGGCAAGCAGTGCCAGTAAAACCGTTGTTACACGGAGTAACAAAAACATATTGGAAAACAATCATCATTTGGTAACTCATCATTCAGACAGCTTCTATTAAGTATTCATCTTTTCATCACATAAATTTTAATTGTATCCGCGTAATTTTATAGCCAACATCTGCAATACCTCCGGAAGGTTACGTTTTGTATGACAATTGTAACACCTTGATTGAAGTTAAGGTAAAAACGAAGGGTCAAAAGCGTACATCTACCATGGTTAGCAGTAGCCCGAATAGCCACAAAGGTGGTGTAGGAGAGAAAAGAAAACCCAGCTGCAGTGGTGATACTCAATCCAATTGGGGAAGGATTTTAAGAGAACAAAATAAATCAGCTATGAAACAAGGTCTGCAGCAGTTGATGGTTAAAGGACCAGGCTCAAAGTCATCAAAACTTACTAACGAAACTAAAGAGACCAAGAAGTCTGGTGTGAATCATAACAAGCAAGATGTTAGCATTCCTATTCTGTTATTTCCTTCGATGTGGATGAAAATAGTAAAAAGAATTAATCGAACGTATGTCTCTTTCTCTAGCCTAAACATTTAGATGAAATCCCAGTCAAACAGTCTGCATCTCAGAAGAGAATAGAGGAACATACGAAATTGACACCACGCACTGGAAATCCGTCGAGCACGTCAATTCAAAGCAGTGTGGAATCTGTTATAGTTATTGACAAGGGAGTGCAATGTGATGTTTTGTTTGACCCTGATGATAGATTTGGCGTGTACAATCCTGTTCGTACATTAAGCTTCCTAATAAAGGAACTAGAACACTTAGTTAAAGATGATAAAGCTAGTAAAATCCTTATTAATATGGAACAAGCACTATTTAGAATACCCATCGAATATGGCAAATCGCCTGGTGTGGTACGTTCATTAAGAATTAAATGAAAACTAATATTAAATGTTAATCGTGAATATTAAAATGAAATTATTAACGATAGGATATGGAAGCTATAGAGCTCCGCGGTAAATTGGAAGCGACGACGCTTCAATTAGAAAAAATGAGTAAACAAATGAATTTGACCTGCGAAGCATTATGTGAGGAAAGAGATTCCTTGCAGCGGTATGTTCTTATAAAACAACGCGTACTAATTATTGTATTTGTGCTTTATATGTTATTTGTTTCAAATCAGCCAAATACAAAAACAAGTTGTACTATTAAATGAAGGAAGAGAAAAACAATCAGATCTGGAAACGACTGTGAAAGCGTTAAAACAAGAATTGCAAGATGCCATAAAAGCAATCGAAGATAAAGAAAAAGCAATAGCTAGTTTAACGGAGGAGATCAACGATAATTTTTCTCAGAAAGTTATAGCGGATTTGAGAGCGAATGTCGCTGAACAGACGGAACTCGCGAGGCAGAGACATTTGGAGGTTCAATATTTAATGCTCGAGAAAGATAAACTTCTCGTTTTATCGTCGTACAAAGATACATTGTTAAACGAACTCCGTAACGCAATCAAGTTAGTGTAGTTGTGGCTTAATTTCAATTTATTCTCACAGTCGTGCAACTTGTAGATCTATATTTATTTTGCATCGTAGGGAGTTGCAGAGTCATATCGGAGACCAATTAAACGGCTTGAAGGATATCTACAATCACGCAGAAACTGCGAATCCACAAATTTCGTTGGTACACGGTGGCATAGCGTTCTCATCGCCCACCTCGACCTCGTCGCACGATTCGATCGGACCTACCTCTTGGCATGATATATCTGACATTTCTCTGTCTACCGTGGATCACGATCCGCCGAAGGATAAGAAGCAATTCTTGCGGGTACCAAATAGTATGCCCGGTAGTTCAGAAATTCTGATCGAGAATTCGGAAAAGAAACGAACGAAGAATGTCAAAGAATCTCCGACGAGAGATTCTTCCAATATGGAATTCATTAGTTTACGGGGTGGAGAATCCTCACTCACACTTATGCCTTCTTACAAGGAAATGGGTTACTCGGAAATTAGTAAATCTGGTACGTAAATTTATGCACGTAACTGTATAGCGTAAGAATATACGAACATTTCTTTTGGTTTTTCAGTTAACAAAGATAAGGAAGGTGCGGTAACGTTAAGTAATCAAAAGAATGATAATGTACGTAATTATAAAAGTACCGATAATATATCGTTGGCGAAAGACTTAAATTCTGATAATGTAAACGAGAAAGAATCGTCTAAGAATAAGAGATCTGTGGAAGTAAATAAGAGACTAAGCTTCGGAAAGAAATCTGTTGCCGAGGACGTTACGAACATTCTAAAAGATAATTCGCCGCATCATTTCATAGGTTCTACTATAACAGAAGAGTTTCAGAATATTTTTCAAGGCATAAGAATTCAGAGTAGAATGCCAGTGAACATACCAAGCCCGCCAAGGAGTTATCCGCATCCAGAATGGAGCGATAGTACCTTACCCAGTATCAGCACTGCGTCCGATTTAAATATGGTACAAGCGAACGATATATAAACCTCCTCGTAAAGAAAAAGGAGAATGCTCAAACTTGCCGCTCAATCAACTTATTTTTTTAATCAAACAGCTTGGTTTTAAGAAGCATGAAAATTAAATTATATTTTTATGATCTCAACGATTTTTAATAGTATATTTTTAAATAATAATTTACAGGAGATATACATGGTATAAACTGTATTAATCTTCCGGCTAAAAGTGTATTTTTCCACTAATATTATATATATATACGATTTTAATTTGTAAATCCACATAAAATTTGTACAGAATAATATATAATTTAAAAAAATATTGTTTTTAGATACAAGTTATATTATTGATTGATAGAGGGGAGATTGTAAAAGTTATGTGTAACATTCGAATTACACGCATTTGAGTGTACATATTACGTAAGTGAAGAGAATTTCATAGAGTAACACGGTGCCGTCAATACCAAACTGTACAATAAGATATTTTTGAATTTTCTACCATACGAAACTAAATCGAGCTTCGCTATTTATGCGAATGATAATTTATGATATAATAATAAGAATGGACATTCCTGAAAAATTATTTACTTGATGATTGAATTATATTTTAATAAAAAAGATGATTGCTCGTTACGGTAATGAATAGCGTGTGCGCCATTATTTGTATTTCGATCTTCCTTAATATTAACAAAAATTACAAGGACACAATATAAATATGACATGAAAAACCAGGTGTATATATATATATATTTTTTATCACATATGTATATATACAAGTAAAGTATAATACTTATATTTTGTAAGTCTTAATAGGATTAAAAGGGAACATTTTAGTACACGTAAAACATTCATCAATTTTGCACAAAGACGTTTTGAAGTACATATACATGTTTCCCGGTAAGTATGTACGTATGTACCCTATATTTTCTGTCGCGAAAAATTCGATTTTCTTTTTCATTTCTTTCTTTTTTTTTCCCCTCCCTCCACAATTTCTTTTCTAAGGACCGAGAAATGTTCATTGGCTAACAACTATCGTAATACGAACACAGTCCTAACATTCGATGCGTGTAAAATAAGTAATGTAAACTTCGACACGAGAAAGACTGTCTTCGCATTTGAACGACTTCGATGAAGATTGTGATAAAACGTGAAATATTAAAAACGTTTATTCCCGTACGCGTTCGACGTTACGAGGGAACCTTCCTCGATTGAATTTCGAAACGGAGCTTTTACCCTATACACCCGACACACGCTTTTCACTTATATTTTAGAAAATCATGAAAGGATCACAAATCTCGAGACGTTATTAATTTACAATAGCCGCGCGATTTACTCGTCCCCCTGATCGGATTCAAAATACATACATGTACACTGATTTTTCGAACGTTCGAAGAAAATTCCTTCGTACTCACGCGATATCGAAAAGGTCCAAGTTCCCTTGTCGGATACGTATACTTTCACGTACAGATCAGTACGATTTTTCTCCTTTACAGAATACACGAGGCATCGTTTTCTTTCACCTTTTCTTAAAAACATAAACTATTCACGACTCTCGATGGTCTCCGTAATTAATCGTTAGAAACAGTACTCTCAACACATGATACAAAACTCCTTACCCTAAGAAGAATGTAAAAATCGAAGATTAACGATTAATAACAACTCTCGAATGAATTTGCGAGAATTACGATACATACGCTATCGATATTTCTCGAAGGGATCTTTACAGCGGTGAGATGGTGGGAAGTGCGCGTAGAGTGAAAGAAATAATTCGTCGTTATTATAGATGCCGTAATTCGAAAAGTTTCCTCTGTTCGTCGACGTACATAAATAATTGCGTCCGCGTAAACTCTCATTTATTTGTCGTACGACATTACCAGTGTTCTCGGTAATAATCTCTACGGTACGAATCACAAAAATGTCGTCGTTACTTTTTACGTATTGTTATCGTGATGACTTTTGAGGTATTACGTATGTACGTTCTCGTGATTTTTAAGAAAAATCGGCATTATTTGAACATTGTGAATCCATCTCAAATATATTTTTTCAAATCTTATATAAGTATTCGATACGATTTAAACGAAATGTTCGTTAATTAATTCCACTTTGTCAATCTCATCGGGAGATCATAGAATCGGCGCGCCGATCGCCAATTGAAACGCGGACCGCGGGCCATTCGACGTTCCTCGAACACCGGGAACGTAAACAAACAGGCCGCTTGAACGCGGCATTTTTCTAATTGGTCATCGGCGGTATTATTTGCGATGAAGGTTGTCGCATGTGCTATTCATAACTTGACATAGAAACTCGGACACTGCTGTGCATAATTTCAAAATAATCTGTGTATGTCCTCGGACCGATCGTGCAATTCCTAAAGTCACTCTTGTTCCCGCGACGCGAGCATCTTGTCAATCGGGAATCGCGTGCTCTCGGAACAGTTTGTTAGACAATTGTCGTATGCGAACTCGTTTTTCTGTACGGCTAGTGAAAGTGATGAACAATGGAGAAACTACGACGCTGCGGACCAGACCTCGAGCACCGGTTTCCACCGAGCGACCAAGGACGTCAAAGGGGTAAGTAACAAGAATAATACTTAACAATTGGAACGGTAAATAGCACATGGAAAACCTTGATAGGTTACGTATGTATGTATGTATGTACGTGTGTGCGGTGTCTGGTGTGTTTTTTGCATGTATACGTGCATACATACAGCTATCTTAAGTACAATATGTACAGAATTTTCTTACCAAATATCGGATTCAGTTTTTCATTTGCTACCGAGCGACTTTTGATTCTCAGCGAAAATATATATGAATCGTTTACGAGAGTTGCGTATTTTAGTTGTTCGAACGGAACCGTCTTTTACAATAGAATACATGGCGAAAGATATGATGTTTAGTGTCCGGACAGATCGCGTTAAGTTCCTCTCTTGTTTAGACAGAAAACACGCCAGACGATGTTTTGTTTACCTTTTCTATTTATTGCGATTATTGCGTACGCGTGAATGAATTTCCGTGTGATTTTTCTGGTGACTCGTAAAAACGGGGTGACCGGAAATTGTTTAGCGAAAACGTTTGCGCGCACTAAGGATCACATATAAATGTCACTTTCCTCTCCTTCCGTCGCGTGTATACGTGTACGTGTTGCGTGTATTACGTGAGACGTCGACGTTATACAATAATATCACTAGCGTAGACTGTCGTATCGTTTTATAATCGTGTATATTACAGTAATAGACGATGGAGTCGAATAGAAATCGGGAATCCCCGCGTACAAGATTCGTATGAGTTTCTAGCCGACTTTGCGCCCCGATTAAACCTACTTAAATAGTCTCAACTATATGAATATGCTCGAATATAGCTCAGATATCGGAAGTGATAGTGGGCTGTTGTAAAAATAAAAATTTAACATTTGTTCATCTTGAGGTTGCATATGGAAGGACATGTTTTATTGTTTATTGTACGTTATATACTGCTTTGTTCGGTGTAAAAATATAAAACATTTCGATTACAGACTTCGTATGTACGGGCGTTTGCCATTGTTACCGAGTTAATCGGCAGTTATTACGATAATCTCTTTCTCATGTTTTCCTTGATGCAGGGTTGCACTAATGATAATCGTCGAATCAGGAAAGTAAGGACACAAACAATTATCTCGATTTAAAAGAACACGGAAACAAAGTTTCGGCACGATGGCAGGCCCATTCCCGGCTTTAAGAACGACTGATATTCGCCTAATCTGTAACTGAAGTATCAGGGTACGCCTAACTACGAATTCGCGTATCCGTTAAACACGGGCCATAAACCATCGCTCGAGTAAAATTATACGCACGCAATGGAAAGAAAACGCGAATGAAACCGGGTGCAATTAAGATAGCACGCCGTGTGTATCACATGAAATTAGCCGGTCGGTTAAAAGCATAATATTATCTGGCGAAAATATCGGAACCGATTTTTAACTGGGAAACGGAAATGCAACCCAGCTTCAAGAAACAGTCTCTACCTCTCTCGTTCACCTAACAATGGCCCAGACTATGGAGTTTAATAATTGCTTTTATGTGGCAATGATAACAATTATGCGTGTATAACAAATGTACTTAGTAAACGGTTTCACTTGTGTTATTACTGCTCTCTGGCGATAAAAATCAGATATCATTGTTCAACTGGTTGGCTCGTAACAAGGGCGATTCTGAGGGGGAGAGTTTTGTTCTGTTCTTCTGCTGCGAGAGTATATATGTACGTATAAACACTATACACTTCCTTGATTGTGCGCCTAAAAACGTGGCGTACGGACCCGCGAACGACGTGGACCGGTCACGGTCCGTCAGGCGCGCAACAAGACACGCATTCAACTATATTCCACTATTCTTCCCTTTTTTTTCTCATCGTTTTTCTCATCTTTTTTTATTATTATTGTTGTTGTTGATGTTGTCGCTGGTGTGGTTGTTGTTTTGTATCTTTGTTTCGGTTTATTTGTTCTGTTCTTTTGTTTCGTGTTTCTCGTATCGTAAAATTAACGAACCTGTGGTCCTGTATACATATATACACTAGTGATTCCCATTTCTTTTTTCTCTTTAAAAGTTCTCCTCTTTTTTGTTCATTTCCGCGTATACCAAGAGAGATCCGCGCAATATAGTATCGTGATTAACATCGACGCATAAATAAAATCTTTTTCGTTCTTTCTTTTTTACATACATTATTTTACCAAATAGTTTTCTCAATAGTATTGGTCTCCGTGTCGTATTGTTCTCTTCTTACCGGGTGCTTCAAAATAATCGCATTGCAAATTATCAGAGAACAATCCCGTCGTTGCTTCGTGTAAAAGATAGCAGGAAAGAATTTCGAAGTTAGTCGCACTTTAGTCAGACAACGTATACTTTGAAACACCCTGTTCGTCGTAGTATACATATTATACCTTTCCTTTTTTTAATTAGCGTATACATTTCGTCGATATATGAAAAACGTCGCTAGCCTCCGTCGGCCACTCGTATCTCGATCGATGTATCCCAATACTTTATTGCTGTACGTATATAATATTTGTAGAAATATTTGCCCGTGCGCTGAAACTCGATTACATCGAAACCGTGGCGAATGATACTCGGTCGCGAGCCACAGACCCGAGATCGAAGGATCGATGAAAAGCCGAAGAAACAACGAGGAAAGAAAGTGAAAAATTCGCGTTTCTCGCGGAATGGACGGCCAAACCGAAAATTAGCAATCTGCCCCCGCCGTGTTTCGCGTCGCGTGCTGCCGTGTTCGAGTATACGTCGTTCCAAAAAGAAAAGAACAATCGTACTCCCTAATAAATAGCGAAATGTCTATCTCTAGTTTCGGACAATAAAAATCGCCGCTAATCTTCGTTCCAGCGATCCACCCTTAACGATAATCAGTCGATGTGTTTCTTCTTACTCTTCTCCTTTCTCGTAAATTCTCTCGTTTTTTTTTTTGGTTTCAATTCAAAACGCGCGCTCGCCCGCTCGTTTCCGTTTTGTTTTTTGTCATTTTTTTTGTTTTTGCCTTACCGTACTAGCATTACAATAACATTTTGATTAAATGACACGTGTCGTAAACGCGTGCAATCTCACGAGGGAAACCGTCTTATTATTTAATTATCGAAAAAAGATGATGAACATTGTTTGCCGCGTGGAGAAGTCGAACAATCCTCGTTCAAGACAGATCTCAGGGCCAGCACAGAAACAGCTGTCCGTATTTATCGCGTACCCAGCGTTATTTGGCACAGTCTGATCAAGAAACGAATATTAATCCATGAATACCCTCTCGCGAGTAGCTCGGAACCGAGTGAAAGATTGTGATAAAGCAATCAGTCAGTCGTTTAAATATCTCTAAGTTGCATCTGTTAACTCTGGTTCATCTGTATAATGTACAATTAAATATATGGCTGTATCTCTCAGGTTCAATGTATATTCATTAGAATATTAACGCGGCCAATCTGTTCGTTCAGTTCCGAGCCTCGTTGGTCGTTTCCGAATCAGTCTGTGGAAAACGGTGATGCTCCCTGACTATTGTTTAATGAGCTAATGACTGCTGTTATAAAAACGATTACTCGGTTTGAGCATTGGAACGTGGCAACGATCGGCCTGGCCGATCGCTCTGCTCGCTCTGGCGTGTCGCGTCTGTATGTATAACTGTATCGGTATATAATTCAACGTATCAAAAATATGCTGTGAGAATCTTTGAAAATCAGGTGTGGTAATTAGTCACGCGGCGTTTAGCCGGAGCAACGGTATCATGTATGTAGTTTAATTAAAAAATGGAAGCTTGTATGCACGTGCAACGAAACCGTTTCCGTCTCGCTCGAGAAATCTCCTCGGGATTGTCACTTTCTCGCGTACTTTGTCTTATCGATACAATTGTCGGAACGAGTTTGAAAACAGTCATTAAAATTGTAGATATTATTTATAATTCTCTCGTCTCTCTCGACCGCGCAGTCGCTCGTTCACTCGTTCGTCCATTCTTACATCTCGCACACTCGCTATCTCTCTCTCTCTCTCTCTGTGTCTCTCTCTCTCTATAAGTCACACTGAATTACGTATTCTTCGGTAGAGCGTGGAAGATGCTTGCAAAGTTCGGAGCACCTGCGCGATATTATCCTATGTACAATGTTACCGAGCCGCTGCGTGTAACAAAACCTGTACGAAGAAGCGTTCGCCACGATCATCGTTACTCTCTTTATATCCGTTCGCGTTTCAATTGTGCTTCGCTACGATTCTTATATTATTATAGATATACGTATATTTGATTTAGCATCTTTGTTCTTCTCTCGTTCCGTTTTCCCCGTCCCATCGATTCTCTCGTTTCGTCAACTTAACGTTGACATCGTCATATAAAAATTGGACCTGGTTCCCATTTGTTTTCGCTACAATTCGCTAATTCCGTCGGTTATTAACCGCGCAGTCTTTAAAGCGATCCTACCATCCTCCCCTAGCCGCGTATTAATCGACCGATCGTTCATTGACGCTTCTCGTGCCTGATCACAATGTTCATCCTATCCTATACATATACGGTATAACGGAACGTCTTTGGATTTGAAATGGATTTGAGACAAGAACGAACGCAGCCCTGGACCGACGGAGCGATGAGCACAGAGTTTAAACCTAACTATTATATGTATAATCCTGTGTACGGTCGCGTTAATGCACGGTACGACTGTAAGCTGCAAAGTATACGCAAACGATCGCCGACCAACGATAAATTTGTCTCGTATCGTTTATCGGCGATCCGGCAGATATCTTCTTCTTCTTTTTCCTTTCAACAGACGAAACGGTGGTTTGCAGGCAGACAGGTAATTGGTAGCGACTCGATCGCAATCGGCCAAGGGCTGTACTGGTACTGTGTGAGCTACTCTTTTATTTGAAAAAAATTCGTCTCTATACCCTACGATAAAACAATTTACGACTAAAAGGTATCCACTTGTCTTACCTTCGTATCGTATCACCGTTCCGTATCGTTATATACCGTTCAGAAGTCTTACAAGTGTCTTATTAGCAAAGTTTGGCAAATATTCCGAATTAGTAATCAGCAAAGATTTGCTTTATTGAAAGATTGTACTAAATCATCATGGATTGTTTCTATAAAATAAATAGCCAATACATCCTTAAAACAGAAGAATATAATCGATTCTCTTGTAATAATTTC